CCGCCAGCCGCTTACACACATGCCACTCTGTGCAAGCCGACAGATGAGTTTAACTACGACATGATATACACTGTTCATCTACACTTGTCCTTGAGTCACATTGTAGCATAGCTCAACTAGTGATTGTGTCACATTTGAAATCTAGAGGCAGACAATTAGACTTCATTTTAACTGACAATACACATCTAAAAAGCCAAGGGCATCTGTGAATGGGTCACCTTCACATTACAGACTATTGGGAAGAGTGCTACATTAGCATTCACCACTACAACAGCCTTATCAAAACCACTAGACAGGCTGGAATGTGAAATGGAAATAGGGCTGAGGTAATGGAGGCAGTCTGTTCTTACCCAGATACTCCACAATGTCCTTGATGTCAGTGACAAGGTAGTCCAGTCTGTAGCTCTCAGTGGAGGAGGGCAGGTCAGACTCCCCGTAGCCTCGCATATCCACAGCAACAACACGGAACTCGCTCTTAAATTCCCTCAGCTGGTGACGCCAGGAGAACCTATTCGAATATTTTGTATGAATTCTACAGGTTACACATGAACACATTTTTGTTCAATTTAGATCATCTCTCTCTGTTCTACATTGTTTTTTTTTTTTTCTGGTTACATTTTATTTTAAGGTGTCCTTGTTACAGTGTAATTATACATTTAGGTACTGAGTAATATTAATTAACTTTATATACTTACTATATGGTTAGGATCAGGGTTTGGCATAATTACATGTAATTATGCATAATTTATTGTTATTATAATAGTAAGTACATGTAATGCGTAACAAGGACACCTTAAAATAAAGTGCGACCTTTTTGCGTTTACTAAGATGGTATAGAACTGAGTCCATGGAAAAGTAAATAGAATGAATGAAGGAATCACAATTATTTGATTGAACTGACAGTAATAGTATTTCTATTCAGTTTTATACACTACCATTCAAAAGTTTGGGGTCAGCAAGAATGCACTAAATTGGGCAAAAGTGACAGTAAAGACATTTATAATGTTACAAAACATTTATAATTCAAACAAATGCTGTTCTTTTGAACTTTCTATTCATTAAATGATCCGAAAATGTATCAAGGTCAAGGAGTTAATATTCTCCAAATATAAAATAATATTACCAGTATTTTTTTTCCATAGTGTAAATGTAAATATAGCTACCTTTATATTTTATGGGTTCCTGCAAGTTATGCCCAAAGAATTTATTGGACTGACAAAATTTATACACTGGAATGGATGATTTCTGCCACACTTTTTTATCTACAATAATCGTACAAATTAGAATGATTTGCACTGCAACATATTTTGGCAAAAAATCAGATTGTGCCACTGGTTAGTGCTTTAACTGAAAAGGCAAAACCAGTTTTATGAAGTACCCAATAGTTTGACATGTAAGATTTAGTTGAATTGTGTTAGTAAACTCTGCCACAGTGGTAGCATTCCATAGCAATTGTCTTTAAAGAATGAGAAGAAAGAGAGAGAAAGAAAGCTGAGGAAAAGCAGAAGGAAGCCTTTCTATGATTCTGATGAGTCAGTGCAGCAAAGGGTCTAAGGACCCAATATGTGAGAATATAGATGAGCGTTAAATTAGCAAACACACTCACACACACACACACACACACACACACACACCCTATTTTAACCTCCACATTTCTCTATTGCTCAGCAGCAGAGAGAAATCTTTGACTTGCACTTTTTGAATGCACCAAACTAAAGTGGAGCAGAAGTCAGAAGAAAAGGGTGTCCTCCAGGTCTCCTCTACTCATCCAAGACTTCATCACTGATTCTGGAGCAGTAGATTGGCCAGTGAAGCAGAAAGGAGCCGTGCCACATTAATTAGGCACAGTCCTGTCCTGATCGCAGTTCAGCAGTCTGACAGCTCACTGAAACGACAGCTTCACTGGTCCCAAGACAGTCCGAATGTCACGACTGTACTCCATATCACATTTCAGGACTGTTTAATACATTATACTGCCCGTTTTACATTTCATAACAATAATAGACACAGCTCTGACTCTGACTGAAGAGTTGTGTTGATAGGGAAGGTTTGAGTCTCAAATATTATCTATGACTCCATGTGTATAATGTGGAGTGATTCCACAACAACATATTTCCGATCTGTGCCTGGCAGCATCCCAGTAGAGAAGTGTTTCCCTTGTGTGTGCGAGTGTGTTTGAGTCTCACCAAAACTCAGGGAATCCATGCAGAAACAGCATAAGTGGCTTTCCTCGTTCTCCAGCAGCAACATAGTGAAATCTGAGTCCAGACTCCTAAAACCATAGAGACCACAGGCAGTTATTCTTCACTATAAACGGAGGATATGATAAAAGCAGTACATTCTCTTTAATCACACGGGCCTGTCCATCCTGATGTAAAATCCATTCTCACATCACTCTCTGCTTGATAGAGCTATAAAATGCACTAGAGAGGGGGAGCCGTGTCCGCAGGTTTCAGCTAATATTAAAGCAATATCTTCCATTGACATTTATGGAAAAATTCATACCCCTGTTAAATGACAGCCTGCATCAAATTGCATGCGATAGTATCCTCGGGTTGTCTGGCTATTTCAAGAACATTGTTTGCAATGCAGAATTTTCCTTTTGAATACAAACAAGTTGTGGGTGTGAAAAACATCTCACCTCAAAAAATATCTGATAAAATGTAATGTTTTCACTCGGCATTAAAAAAAAGGAGTTCATTTCCTCAAGGTCACTTGCTATTTTACTTTCAGATAGAGATCACAGTTGATGCCAGAGTTTTTATACCAAATCCCTCAATTCCAGCGGTTGCAGAGACTTTTACAATATTTTTCCACGTTACAAAAGTTATATACTCAGGAACAAAACTTAAAGGGGCTGTTTTCTAAGATTTCAAAGGATCCCAGGTGAAAAACAAGTGTACTTCCATAATGTTCTTAAAGTGCTTTATTTTCACGCACTAATTTTGTACTTAATACTGTATACTAAAAATGATTCTTTAGTACTTCTTAAGATAAACTTAAGATCATCTCAGTGTACTCAACTGTGCTATTTTGGGACACCATGAATATGAAAAATCCGCTTTTAACATACTATCTCTGTATTTAAAAAATGGATTTAGTTACCACTTGTAGTACACTTGAACCATCTTTCATACACTGATACACAAATTTACACAAATTTACAAGAAGTGGTGACTAAATAAATTTTTTAATGGAAGTGTAAATTTTTTCAGCTGGGATGCTACATTTTTAGAAAAAGTGCAGATTCAGAGTACCTAATGTGTGAACGTTAAGTTCAAAGCTCTGCAGGTATATACTCATCACATCTATCCTGAGACTGCCTAAGCTGTTTTCAGCACCACTCCAGTGGACAGCGAAGTCCAGGCAATGACTATGATTGTGTGGGAAACTGATCACTCTGCTTGTGCTCAGTTGATGCTCAGTGATGGAAACTGCTTGCTTCTGGGAGCAACCCCATTGGAAATAAAAATCATAAATGAGATCCCTGTAAAGGGATAGATCCCTTAAGAGAAAACATAGCCCAAACATGAAAACTGTATTACCCTCGTGTTGTTTCAAATCGGCATGACTTTCTTTCTTCTGCTGAACAAAGGAAGACATTTTAAAGAATGCTGGCAAGCAAAAGTTGTGAGTTACTGCTGGATTACATTCCTCCAAAAAAACGAAAAACAAAAACAAACACTGAAACATTTCCTTAAATATCTTTAGGGCTTTCCCTTTCCTACAAAGCACTGTGCTATGCTACCAAGGTCATGGGTTCAATTCCCAGGGAAAGCAATGCAAGTCGCTTTGAATAAAAACATCTGCCAAAAGCACAAATGTAAATCTTCTTTTACATAAAGAAAGAAAGAAAGAAAAATTTTGGAATGACATGAGGATGAGTAAAATTGACAGAATTTTCATTTTGGGGGATCTATCCATTTAATCTTTCGCTTAGACACCAATGAGGCTAAAATGAGTATAAATTGATAGCCTACTTTTGCTTGAGCTTCTGCTTCTAGTGAAACACCAGGTGATTTAATGCATCTCATCAACAATATCTCAAACTGTGCTCAGGTTTGGCAAGATACCAAACCTGAAAACATGATCTCAATGCACTAATATTTGTCATCAAATTCTATCAAGATGAAATTATGTGGGCTACCCGCATTTATGTTTATAGCTACTCAGCAATCGTCTCATTTTGTTTAAGGAAACATCTGAGCTTTAAGGAAACATCTGAGGCAAAGTTCATATTTCAAAGGGGAAAAAAACGAAAGAGCAACATCTGAGCATTAAAAAAAGCTTTTAAGTTATATTTATGTAGGATATACATGCTTTCGTTTACTGTCATCTTACCTTGATTTTAACATAACAGTGGGTTCCCAAGGACGTGTCATTCAGGCACGCAGGGGGTGTCTCACGAACCGTCCACTGAAAGGTTGTTGACGGTCGTAGGATGATATTCCAGCCAAGTTTGAGCAGCGCTACGCCCGTGCATAGCGCGCAATATCCATAGATGAGAGACCAGTATCCCATAACTCTGATCTTCAGCGTCAGCCCGACTGTCAACAACAGCAAGTTATGAAGCAGTCTCGCCATCTTTACATTACTGCGGGAATACGCTTGTTGATCACGGCTTTTATTGATTTGTTTACTCAACTGCCTGTGTTTCAAAAACGACGCGCATCTTAACAGCCCCGTCGGACCTTCAGCGAGCGCATCCTGCCCGGGGAGGGTCCCTGTGTAGACGCCAGAGTCACGCTTAATGACAGAAGAGATGATCAGTCCCAAAGGTGTTCGCACCTCGGACTGAACCATTACAGCTCAGCTACACCGACAAAACTAGAAGGCTCCCATTATAGTCCAGGCAGCTTTCTGGGGCTGGGCCCATTCGTACTCGCTCGGGTTTCTGTCGCGATCGCAGTGTAGATGAGCTGTCTGTTATTGGATATTTTAACCTGGATACAACAATAAAATATACTGTGCCTCATGGTGCATTACAATTATGCACTACAGAAAAAGTGTGAGAGAGAAAAGGAAACAACTTATTCTTTTACTAATTTAGAGCCAAAAGTGCACAATTTTCTTTATATTACAAAAGTGATAAAAGACAAAAAGTGAACACAAAAAACAAACAAACACCATTTTTAATTGGGAAAATAAAAGTTGAACTGTGTCCAGAAGGTGTTAAGATGAAATAAGTGAAACTTTATAATCCTGGGGACGTGTCCGGGTAAGCTTTACAATTTTTGGTTTGATTTCTGCATCAGTGACCAGATTGATAGCAGGGGGGACAGACTGGCCTGAGAGACAGTGAGTTAATAATAAAAGGGTTGGTGGGTAGGTGTGAAGCAGCTAACCTGAATCAGAGTCACAGCTATCAGAGGAGCTAGAGTCACTACTACTGCTGTTAGAGCTGGATGAGCTGCTGCTACTGTCACTCAGACGAGACGGACGGCTCATGTCTTTAAACTCCTCTTCCGCTTCAACTGCACACAGAAGGGGAAACATAGGTTTATACTGCATTTATATGACTACATAAAAAAAAAAAGAATGAACAAATAAATACCTATACTTACTTTTGGCCTTTTTATTATTTGATTCTCCATGTGCGTGTTGCAGCTCTTTGTCCATTTCCTTGATTTTAGACTTCTTCTGGAGCTTCTTTTCTAATAATGTAAAACGATCACAATAAATATAAGATACAAATTCTCCTTTTACACACCAATTTTGTAAGAGTTGTAGAGTATATATCAAATTAGTTTTTTTTTTTAAGATGGCAATTTTAAGCACTAATCGTGTTTAAGTTCTAAATAATAATAAAAAAATAATATTTAAAATAGTAATATCTTTTAGGTAAAGCATACACATGAAAAAAAAAAAAAGGAAAAAAATAAACCTTTATGAACACTTTCACAGTGAAGCAAAAATAATGTACTGCTATACTGCGGGTATTAAATTTTTTCCAGATAATGATGAAAAGTGTCTCCTGACTTGGTGTATGTAGTTGTAGTATGAAAAACATATGCAAATATTTCAGATTTGCATGCCATTCAGTTGTATTACACAATGTGAAAAGTAGTTAGTACTATCTTTCATATATATATATATATATATATATATAAATATAAATGTCTCAGCATGAAAAGCTCTTAATATTGACCAAACAGTACTTACTGTCAGTTTCTTTCCGTTTCTTTTGGAGGCAAGCGACAACATAGCACTCGAGAGCTCGAAGAGTTGAAGGTTTGAGAGTCTCAAAGTCAATTTCGATCTCCTCAGGGTCTGTGTCCCTGAGCAAGGGTTCTCGCGCCTTGATGATGTTCACTACTTTGCCAAGCTTGTCTCCAGGAAGCTTGTTAATGTCCAAACTCAGTTGCCGTTTCTCCTCATAAGACATGGGTAATGTATTGATCTCTTCCTCGGAGTCATATGCTCTGCTCTCCTTCCGCCTGAGAACAAAGTTGATGGAATTTAGATTTCTTTGAGAATTTGTCTTGACATAAAACATAAAATTAATTAGCCGCTGCAGGGAAATAACGAAAAGAATAACAAAGTCCAGTAAATGGTAAACGTGTCTGTACTACAAACCAGTGTGTGCATAATTAATATAGGGCTAGTACTTTAAAATAACCTGACACACCACTTTGCAATATCAGGCAGCAAAACGAGCTGTGTTGTACAGCTAAAAGAGCTGGAAGTGGATGAGACCGGAAGCCAGAATCATTTAATTTAAAAATGGCTGCGCCCGCTCTTACAGGAAAAATAAGGTGAATACTTAGGGTAGAAATGGGCATGATGTGCACCCCCACAAGCACCACACATTTTCTTACCCTGATGACTTGCTGTTAGACCTCTTCTGTATTTTTGCCGGTTTCTTCATTTCTTCACCTTTTCGCTTACTGGACTCTCTCTCTTTCTTCCTCTTCTTCTTGGACTTTTCCCTTTTCTTTGGTTTCAAGAGAGGTGTTTGGGTCAGTAACTGCAGCTGCTCTCGTACTGCTTTCAGCTGGTGAGTAAAGACAGAAATGACATTATATAAGGGTACACGTATAAATACTGTTCAAAACTTAGCAAGTTATTTTTTCCACTGCCTACTGTACAAATGGGCAGCATCCAGACCCTCACAGCAGGCTGATTATGAATGCTCATACTGACATAGAAGATTTGACTTAGCAACATGCTTAAGCACAGCACCTATTAAGTTTACAGCACAACACCTTTTCTTTGGTTTCAAGAGAGGTGTTTGGGTCAGTAACTGCAGCTGCTCTCGTACTGCTTTCAGCTGGTGAGTAAAGACAGAAATGACATTATATAAGGGTACACGTATAAATACTGTTCAAAACTTAGCAAGTTATTTTTTCCACTGCCTACTGTACAAATGGGCAGCATCCAGACCCTCACAGCAGACTGATTATGAATGCTCATACTGACATAGAAGATTTGACTTAGCAACATGCTTAAGCACAGCACCTATTAAGTTTACAGCACAACACCATAATAACACAGCATTGTAATTGCACAGACTTAAAAGTCCTCCCAAGTATGTTAATAAAAGAGACCTCTCTCACTTCTTGGCAAAGAACATTCTGGAATTGTTTCCACTGCAAAGAATACATGCAATACTGCCATAGAATTTGCTGAAGGAGGCAGAGTCACCACATTGGGCGTGACTATGATGGTGTGACTGTTTTGGAACAGAGGATGTGTGTATGTTTGAGGGGACTCAAAAGTCTATATACACAAGTCTTACCTGTTCCTCCAGGCTGGCAAGCCTCTGCACTCTCTCCTCTTCATCTTCTGTGTCTGAGGAGTTTTCTGATGGAGATGATGATGATTCGCTGTCACTGCTCTCAGAGCTGGACGGACTGTGTGCTCTCTCCTTCCTTACTCTGTTCTGACTAGAGGATGGTGCTGAATTCCTCGGCTTGTCAGGAATCTTGGAGAAGCGAAACTCAAAAACATCCTGGGTAAAAAATTTTAATATTCTGCATTTACCCATAGGAAAATAAGACAAACAATGGATTTTAAAAAGATGATCAAACCACCTAAAGACACACCTGAAGTTTTCTTGCCATGGCCACTACCTCATGGCCGGGTGGATTGTATTTGTAGCAGTTTGAGAACATGAGCCGCACATCTGCAGCGAATTGCAATGCATCGGTGTACTCCCGAGCTTCTATCTTGTTCTATTAGAAAAAAATAAGCCCATTACATACAAAACAATAACAGTGAGCAAAGCTTATCCAGTAATATTAACAAAACCATGGTACTCACTTTGATGGTACTCATATCCATAGGTTGGTAAATGATTTCATGATAATCAAGAAGGCCCAGTGCCTTAGCATCCACAGGCTTATAAAAGGGCCAGGCATAAGCAGAATGCTTTTTGGCAAACATCTCTTTCAGGATTGCATTGCAGTATTTGAGTCTCTCTGAGAGTTTGGTCCTTCTGCCCACCTGATGTTGTGGTGGTGACTCAGGAAGGTCTTTACAGGGAGGTTTGATGGGTCGGCCGCTGCCTCGCCTGGAGAATATCTTAAGGACTTTTGGTTCTGTTACACAAGGGGATGACTCACAGCTGGTGATGGAAGAGGCAGAAGGGGTCGTAGTGTCTGCTTTTCTTTTCACACCATTTTTCAACTGAAAGAAAAGGTACATGCAGATTACAGTTAACTAAAAAAAATATGCAATCAGTATTTTCCCCGTACTATTCTACCTTTAGAAAATACTATTTCCATAATTCAAGACGAGACAACTAAACAGCCCTTATCTTTGTCAAAGAGGCAAAACTACACTAATTAATCCTTGGAAAACACTAGGGCCCAATCCCATTTTATACCCCTTCCCCTTCCCCTCTGCCTAACCCTTCCCCTTGTCCCTTAAAACAGAGTGTCAAGGGGTAGGGGTGAAAATATTCCCCTAAGAACTGGGACACCACTATTATGCCGTAACACGTCGTCTAGCTCCTACAATACACACACCTATACTGGTGTGCATTAGACTTTAATTACCATTCTATATTAATGCGCTGCTTACTGACACACACACACACACATCAGATATTGCGCAGCTCACACATCCAGGACCTAAGAATCTTGTCAACGCTGCCCCACGACTTTCATTAATAACAGTTAAAATACTGAATTGCTACATGATATTATCCAGCAACGAGAGGATAAAATCGCTATTTTTGAAGTAAACTCACTCTAAAAAGAGAAACGCACAGACGCAACTTTTATCTCTCTCTCCCGAATTGGCAATATTTCAGAAAAGGGTTTAGCGATTTGTAATTATTAGGGGTACCACCGTAGACATTGACCTCCTCAATGTCTACGGTGGTTATCGCCCTGATCAGACATGAAAATAGCCTATGTTGTAGGACTATCGTGCAGTCAGTAATGATATGACACTAGAAAACTTTAGCGATTTTTTGCAAACATTTCTTTGAGTAACATGACCGTAAATATGAACTCACGATTGAATGTAACAAAACAAACGATTACGTTTCGTTAAAATCTTTATTAATGCCAAAAATGCTTACATTTATGCGTCTTCGTTTGACGGTCGAAGATAAAAATCTTCGTTTGACGGTCTATTTGGCCCTTCCCCTACCCCTTCATGTGAACGCACGAAACAGAGGGGAAAGGGGAAGGGCTAAGGGGTAGAATTGGGATTGGGCCTAGGTCTCATTTAGGGATGCAGCGATTAACCGCACTTTAAAACGTCACGGTTAATTAATCGTAAAGGTTCCGCTAAACCGAGTGTTTCTGTTACACGGAACGGAACTGTTGCAGCTTGCGCAAAACGAAAAAAGTTACACTAGCGGGGCACCAGCTTAAATTGACGTGCTTATCAGAGGCACGGAGGCTACTACATGCATTAGATGAACTGACAGAGGGACCAAACAGCGAAGCTTTATTTCCACCAGAGAAATGCCTGTCGATAGTGTGGGACCATTTGGGCTACACCAAGAATGACCAGGGTGTCATTTAAATATTGCTGTAAAAAACTGCTGCTAAAGAGCGAATACATAAGGGATAATGCACGGCTTGCTGTACATTGAACGATTTTAATGCACGACGTGAAGATAAGAACCACCTGACGCGAAGCATTTGCGACTGAAATCTACTGCGTGCGACTGACCTGATCATCATCATATTTGTGATCGCTGAGAGGAGCTTTCTACGTGTTTTTGCAGCGTTGAGTAATGTATCACAGACATATCTCACGAATCCTTTCATAAGCAAAGTGTAGACCGGGTGTAAATCAGTAGGGCTGGGTATCGAGTTCGACACTTTTTAGGCACCGACCGAATTGCCTCGATACCATCGAGTATCGAAAAACATACAATAAATAAGATTTATATTCCACTTTCACTGAAAACTCACTTTAAACCACCATCGAGTCAAGTCAAGTCTGCTTTATTGTCAATTCTTCCACATGTACGGCACATACACACAGAGAATTGAATTGTGTTACTCTCAGACCTTTGGGTGCAAACAGATAACATAAATACAGATTAAATACAAAAAATACAACTATACAAATATGCAAATAAGGTAAAATGTAAAAATATATATATAAAGCACAAGGCATCGAGTGTTTGTAATAACTTCCGATTGCCGTCCAACAGGGCCGGATTTACACATTGCTCATTGAGCAAATAAATATAACAAACAATAGGGTAAAAAATGACAAACTATTTCCATGTCTTCCACCTTTTTTATGTAGGCTACGGAAATCAGGCTTTCTTTCTCCCAGTCTCTCTCACAGACGCACACACAGTGCAGACACGCGGAGACGCGAACAGAAACTTCTTGTCAGCGCTGCACCGTGAATTTATCAGCAAAATAGTTTCGCAGCTGAAAAGATACATGACACTTCTCAGTAGCGAGGTTCATGAAGGAGTTTAACAAAGATTAGACTGCATTTTAATAACTGCATATCAATGACTCAAGACTCTGTTATCAGCTCTAAAAATGACGTTTTGGAATTTGCAACGGAAGGTTTGGGATGAGGTGCATAAAACAATTCGTTCAACCCACACGAGATTTCAGGACGGAAACATGTCAAATGTCTTGATGTGTGGTTGTGACTCCAGGCCGTTAAAATTATTAGAGAAATAATGCACTCCCGGAGGTGGTTATGTGGCCACGACTATATGGTATGGTCTTTCTCAGTTCTCAAACAAATGAAGAACTATTCGATTTTTACTGACTGAACGCAAGCGTTTATTCCGATAGAAACACTACCGGTTTCCACCGATTAAGAAATATTTTTGTTTGCTTGGGTGGTAATATTAGGTCTATTATATTAATAGGGTAGGGGGCCCAAAAATGTAATATAATGTTGCTGAAATTAAATATGTTATTACTTCTGAGTCAGAGCAGCGATCATGGAAGAGAGAACACAAGCAGACAGCGCTGGAAGCTGCTAATGCTCATCAGTAAATCAGTGGAAAATAAATAGAAATCATGATTCTGTCTGAGCTATGAGTCTTAAAACGAACACTAACTAGTGTAAATGTAGCTAACAGATGTGTAAACTGAAGACTATTTGAGCTTTATTAAAACTATTTTGCACTGATTTATTGTGTTGGTTACATTTTGTTCCTTTGTGCAGTGGCTCAGGAGATGAGTCTTTGAGTTTGTATAGACATCAACAAGCTGAAAAATAAAACCAAAGTTTTTTTTTAGATAATGTAATTTTGTTAAAATTGATTTCATAAAATTGGTATCGAAAAAAAGTATCGTTCGGGAACCGGTATCGAAGTCAAGGTATCGGTATCGAAAAATTTTGAACGATACCCACGATACCCAGCCCTATAAATAAGAGATTCATTGCGCAGTGAAGAGAGCGTCGTTGATTATAAATGTGAGATTGTGATGAACTAAGATGAGTGACAGCTTTTAATGATTTTTAAGGGAGTTTGTAAATGTGATGATTTAATACAATACAATAAACAAGTTAATATTAAGTGACTTACATCCAATAAATAACACTTTAATATCTAAGTGTGTTCATGTGATTTTATACATTAGTAATGTTGGGAAATTAATAAATGCATAATAATCGTAAAACCGTGATTATTCCTCAAACAATAATCGTACCAACAAAATCTATAATCGTTGCATCCCTAGTCTCATTTACTAATAACTGCACAGATTACGCACATTTATACACACAGGAGAAAACATTCTGCCTAAACCCCAACACATGCATATGCACATGCATTTATTCCTAACCACGTTGTAATGTTAATGAATTTGGAGTATTCTAAATGAGCAACCGCATACCCAAAGTTAGTAATCTGCATAGAACATGTCTAAATCTCTGTGTAAGGGCTTTCCGCAAAACCTTTCCTTTACAGCCTTAGAGCAAACATGATGTTCTCTAAAGACACATTCTGGCCTGAAAGCAGATGCATGAAGACCCTTCGAGCAATTTGCGTACCATCCTCAAAATAAGTACAAAACACAATTACCTCTTATGGAGATCTAGAATACAGGTACTTGCATATCAATATAAAAAAAAGATTATCTAAACATGTTTACAAGGCCACAGGAGTATGTCATTTTAGCTTATGTGTAGTTTCAGCTGTCGATACATTTTTTGTTGATTTATAATACTTTTCATTATGAAAGTTATTGATAAATAACAATTTGTTTGTGACAACACTTGTGGACAGATTTCACACACAAATTTGTGAATATGCTCCCATTTCTTTGCCTTTTTCCTAAAGAACATTACAGAGATTTGACAGGAAGTGGGTGATGGGATTGGAAAGGTCCATGAGACGGGAATCAAACTCAAGTTGGCTAAAGTGCCTCCCACCACACTACTGGTGCCAATGACACTTGTTATTCTTATTTAATTTGCATTTTACCTCATACATTGAGAATGTTTACATTGACATTAGTCATCTAATTATTCATCTTATTCTGAATAAGACAATATTATGATTAAGGTGTTTACATGAGTTGCTTTTAAAATATTCCTTTTTATGTTCCCGTTGTTCCCCATGTTATAGTACATAGATCGATTAATGGCACACATCATTACATCCCCACGCGACGCCATCCGACGCTCACACCTGCTTGGAAGTTTCAAGTAATCCTGATTAGCTGGATCAGGTGAGTTTGATTAGGGTTGGAGCTAAACTGTGCAGAGCTGTGGCCCTCTAGGAATTGAGACCACTGCTGTATATGCTACCATAACGAAGACAAACTGTATGTTGATATGTGAAATTTCTTGGGGAAGTTCATGCAAGCCAAATCTGCACAGGTTTAGAGAGTATATTGCAAAAAACAAACAAAACACACCTACAGAGGCACGCATACGTGACGTGATGAAGTCTGGTTAGACCAACACAGGCTTTAGTGCGCGTGTGCATTTAGGGTGCTTTCACACTAGCACTTTTGGTGCGCACCCAGGTTCGATTGACGTCAGAGTTCGGTACGTTTGGATGATGTGAACGAGGTCTTCTGAACTCTGGTGCGCACCCGCGAACCGTACTAGAGTCCGCTTAAAAAGGATGGTCCGGGGTACGGTTCAAGTGAACTCCGGTACGGTTCGCTGCTGATGTGAATGCAATTGTACCAAATCACGGAAGTGAACCGCTATTAATAATGTATTATTTG